ACTGCCGAAGACTTTTGCACAGTGCTGTATACTTTCAGGCCACTGGCCAGGGGGTGGTCTGATGGTTGAGTAACCAGAAGATTTCCTCTCAAATCACAGAAAAATACAAATAAAACCCAGCTCTTATAGCAATCACTGAATCTGAATTGCTCCAGTAAATCATACAGCTATACATAATAAAATAAATTAATAAAATCACGGACAGCTTAATAGTGGAAATGACCATGCCGCGTTTACAATGCTGCCTCGATTCTAAGGTGTCAAATGTTCCGTAAAGCCGGTAATGGCGGGATTTTAATATGAGTGGTTTCCCAAGACAAGCATGTTACTTTCGGTGCTGTTTAAGTTGGGGTATATGTTGCCTGTGGGGGTAGGACAAAGGAGCCCCCAGTGTGTTTATCGGGCCACATGTGGACGATAGCGATCTAACAAAATGAGTAAACAATCCAGAGAAAACAAACTGCCTGCTGTACCAGTGCTTTGCCTGCCATCCATGAAGGGATTCACCTCTTGCAATCAGACAAAAGACTGGAGATAGGAGTGCAGTGGGCCTACTTGAGGGAGAGCCCAGCCCTAACGCAAAGCCCCCTTCCAAGACGGATAAAACGATAACGCCTCCTTCCTTGCTTTACTTGACTTAGACATGCTGATGGTTTTCATCTCCGATTAGCTCCCAGCCAGCAACGCCATCCAGCAGAAGGGCTATCACCTGGCCTCCGGAGTACCATCTTTGTGCCCCATTCAGCTGTTAGGGTTTTACGTTTTTTTTTTCCTTCACCTTTTCTTTAGCGTTTGTGTTTATTTCATTAGTGTCACAGCATTATCCTTTGAGCGAAACGCATGTTAGCCGCGAGATCGAGCTGATTGGGACGCGTGAAGAGAGCGATAACATGGCTAATAGTGGAGAAACCCCAACGGGTGCCCCGCTTTTTGGGGGGGGGGGAGCAGAGCTTTTGGGGTAACAAGCTGCAGTCATTTGGAGTCACCAGCCCAGGATGTGGACAGGCCACATCTCCAGGTCACGCTGTGTTTAGCCATCTGCACTTATTTTGACACATGACAGATCTCAGCGCTCAGCATAAGAGGCGGATGGACATTGGCAAACTTATCCCGGTTCTTCACACTACAGAAGCTGACACGTGACATCATGTTCTTCCTTGTGTATCTAGAACCCTGCATTTCTGGAATATCAGAATTTTTATTTTTATTTTGTCTTTTCCAGCAGTTTGACTCAATATTAGTCACCTGAATTCCACCCACCAGCACATCACCACCAAAGAATATTTGAATTTTGTTATCGATACACGCTGTGCGCTTACTTATTTCTTTGATTGCAGAACAGCTGTGTAACGTGCAGCTGTAACCTCTGTGTTTTTATATGCTGGATCAAAATGAGCTGTCTCATATTCTTACTCCTAATTTCGCCCTCTGGGCTGACACAAAGAAGCAGGGCGCCCCACGGCCTTGGGGCCTACCTGAGGGACTCCGCCATCATTAGGTACAGTAGAAAAACATGGGGAACCAGCAGGCCCTAAAGTCATTACTCCAGTTTATTCCTCATCTATTATTCAGTTGTTAAATCTGACTGTGGTCTACAGGGAGGGCAGGAGAGAGACCAGGAAAATGTTTGTGTGTGTGTGTGTGTGTTTCGTGTTTCTGTGTGTGCACCACAGAAGTGAAGAGAGCATGTGTGAGGGTGTTTGATTTCATGAGATAAGGAGAAAATGTATTTACATGGTTATATTGTGGGTGGTGTGTGTGTGTGCGCACAAAACAAAGAGTGTTTATTATAGAGAGTGCTTTGTCCTGTGCCTTTATAGAGATCTTTGGTTGGGTTTATACCTGTGCGATTGTGCATGTGTGTATGAGCATGTGAATGTTTGAGAAAGTGTGTTTCACAGTTCGTGTGCTTTTGTTTCCTGGCAGTTTTGTTGAATGAAGGGGGAAAAAAAATCAGATCTGCCTTGAATTACAGATTTTAAAAAGTTTGCTTGTGCATTAAGATATGAATACAAAATGGCTTCCTTTTTAACAAAAATTATACCAATACGAATTTTTACCAGATTTAGACCAGTAGCATACAAGCACAGTATCTTCAGGCTGAATCAAAGAAACCTATTTTACGATATGTATTTTGAGAAACATAATAAGTTGAATAAAATGGTTGCTTTGTAGTCTTACACTTGCCAAAAAAAAAACTCTCATGAAGGGAGTGAAAAACATCAAAAGTACAACCTAGTTACCATCAGTTTAAAGTACAGTGTAAAAAAATTAATTGAAACCTGCAAGTACAAGAAAATATAATAAATATTTTAAGTAATGAGAAATATAATATGAAATTTGATAGTCCCTCTTGTGGTGTTGGATTTATAATTATAATAATTTGCTAATTATTTTTATGTGTTTATTCATGCCAATAAAATATTGCTTCTTGTTTTACTTCGCAGTCCATTTTAGAGAGTTTATAATGGGCCCATGGGAACAGTAACTAACAAATGTGTATCCATTCAAGCGAAATGCCATAGGATTTGTTAGCTTCCAATATGATACGTTACACCAGCCTTTACACCAAGTCTGATGTGTACAGATGATAAAGCTAGCTGTGCTGCCAGCGGAAGGATCGCATATCCAGTTTGTTCAAACATATGGAGTTACGCAAGTATTACAATTAGACATCAGGCAAGGCCAGGAAGATAATTAAGCCCTTTTTTCACAGTGTGTGAGGGACTTAAATAGCTTTGTTTTGAGGGACAAAAGCCAGACTGTATGTGTGTCATTTGTGTATCGGGTTTAAGTCCAGTTCGCTTTGTATTCCAGGAACTGCAGGTTCGTATCAACGACAAAGCAATCTGCTGCACGAAACCCAATCCAGCAAGGTCTGAAAGACACTTGTGGCTGAACTGTTATTATGAATAAAGTGATATCATTATGTGTGTTTGTTGACAGATGGACCGTGCAACGCCATTGTTCTGCTAATTAGGACCGAACAACAGGCCCAGGGAATGACCTCCCCCTCTGGGAAATGTGCAGTGATTTCGGTAGAAAGTGGAGGTCATCTAATCCAACCCGTAACTTGATGCATTTATCGATGCATGGTGGGCGACAAATTCTTAGATATTTGCATGGCCTGGTGTCTGACCTGAAGCAGAACACTTAACTGTCAGCAGCATTTCCTGAATGTTGACACCTGTTTACTGGCTGTTGACTGTTCTGACACCAGTAATCACAGCCAAGGTTTAAGGTTCTGCAGAAGTCAACAGGATGGTTGCACTCAATGCTGAAGATATACTGCATGGAACGGATTACTGTCTCACTCGTGATGCTAAAATCAAAGACAGATGGAAAATGTGCTTTCAAAATAATCTACTTCAGCAATTCTCAAACCGGGGGTCGTGACCCAAATTTGGGTCGCCGCAAGTTTTCAAAGCGTCAAGAGTCAGAGTTGGAAATGTAAGCATTTTAAAACCAGCAAGCTCCTATGCTGATCCACTATCAGATTTCCCAGCCCCAGTCCTAGAATGAACCTATATAAACGGGTCTTGGATCTGCAACTGCTTAAGCACAACTAGTGAACGCTCAACCAATCCACGAAGTCAAATCACAGATGCTTCATTTAAAATTCACCGGCATATCCAGCCAGATTTGTGTGATAGGCATTGATTGGCATAAATTGCAGAATGCACTGCACGCTTGATCATAGCATTGATTAAAACTCATACTTGATATAGGGTCACGACTAAGCTGGCATGGTAAAAATTAAAGGCTGAATTAAAGGCTGAGAAGCACTGGTCTACTTGTAAAAAAACAAAAACAAAAAAAAGGTAGCTGAATTTGATTGACAAGCTATTTTGCCTGTCCAGCTGTTCTTCCAAATCCCGGCCTATGCTAACACCAGCCAATCAGGTGCTGTCAGGGTGAGGAGTGAGAGGAGCCCACTTAGTAGTAGGAAGTAGGAGAGGATTTATACAGCAGGACTCTTCCCATTGGCAAAAAGAGAAGCTCTACATTATCCTTTTAAAAGACCGTCAGACGTACCTTGATATCTAGCTTGTCTACAGTTATCAGAACCTACACATATCAGTTTATACTATGAAACAAAAACTCAAAAGGACCACACAAAATGACAGTGCGATCTTTATATCTTGATGGACGTTCAGAAAGGTTACCCTAGATCCACAGCCGTGCGTATCACTAATTATTTACATACCTCGTTTTTAAAGTAAAAGGTTTCTAGAAATATTGTACGTGATATGACTGATATGCGTGCCTGCTGTCAAAGTACATGTTGTACATCTTTAATCGTGATAAAGTTAAACGATAAAGATCTGCTCACGATCCTGTTCTGGATAAGCGGTTGAAAGACGGATGGATAACCATGTGTATCCTGAACACAAGCAATAATGTGCACCTCAAATAATAGAAGCCTGATTAAGCCACTAATAATCTTAACGGGCGACATGATGTACCAACTACTACTAGTAACTGCAAAAGATGTTTTTTTTTGTTTGTTTTACGATGCACTTATCTCTCATGTTGAGTTTACAAATAAGTACTTTCATAAAGCAATTAGAAGATATATAATTCCGGTTATTATTTATAATAGTCGTAATAGTACCTTGCATTAAAAATGTCATATAGCTATTTTGAGTCCACAAAACTTCATTTAAAGCAACCTTTACCTGATTCCAAGGAACACCTGGGCAAGTGACAAAACGAAATTCTAATTAAAATACATAATGCAACCTAATTCGCCGGATGGCTTAAATGTTTTAAAAATTAAGCCTGTTAAGGGAAATGCACGGCAATGCTTTCCTGGCCAAGCCAAAGGGGGAGTGTCCAACTTGTTGCGGCTCATTTGGTGTCTTGACATAGTAATTTTAGCAAGCACCTCTGGAAGGGGAACTTAAAAGCCGGCGGGCAGAAGTGGAGTGGTTAGTCTGTGTAACTCAGCTTACGGACTTCATTCTGCTAAGCGATCACTACTGTGGATTGGTCCTTAGAGAGCAGCAACCTAATCTCCTCACGTCAGACATGGATGGCACCAACAGCAGAGCGCTTGGTTTGTCGCCGCACACCACATCGCCCCTGACGGTCGGTGGCCTGCAGGTGCCGGCGTCCCTGCTACGGACGCCTCCGCTCTTCCTAAGAGCGGCCGCCGCGGCCGCTTGCAGTCCGGCCATGGAACGGGGGTATCCGCGGACCCCGAAGTGTGCGCGCTGCCGCAATCACGGCGTCGTGTCCGCGCTGAAGGGCCACAAGCGCTTCTGCCGATGGAGGGACTGCGTGTGCGCCAAATGCACCCTGATCGCGGAGAGACAACGAGTCATGGCAGCTCAGGTGGCTCTGCGCAGGCAGCAGGCGCAGGAGGAGAGCGAGGCGCGGGAGCTGCACTTCATGTACTCCGGATCGGGGTCATCTGACACCGGACTGACCATGCCGGCGTCCGTGGTCCCTGCGCCAGGGTCCGCTCCTGCAAACTGTGGTCTCAGGACCCCGGGATACGATGTATTCAGCATAGACGACCAGAAAGACGGTAATTTAATTTTGATGCAATCATCTAAATCAATAAAATACTTTTATGTTATATAATATTTTGAATCTTACTTCCAACCATTTTGCGGTTTAACAGGCCTATTTCAACCACCAGGGCTGTAAATTTAAACCACTAGAACTGTAATTTTTTTTACACTTATATAATAATATAAATCATGCTCCGGTTTCACTGAGTGCGGTTTTGTATGCTTAAGTGCGTGTTGTACCGCCTCTTTGATGAACTGTTCCTACAATTTATTTGATATTTCTGCAGGAGACAAGCTGCCGAAATACAGTTTATATGGCGGATTCACGGGACGTCCTGTATTTGCCTCTCACTCGGCACCTCTGCCCTCTCCTTTAGGGAGAAATGACTCCACGTCCGGCCGGGATAAAGATAAGGAGAGTGAAATCCAGTCCCCCGGTTCCGATCAGCTGTCAGACCAGATGGGAAGTCCAAGGTCACTGTCTTCCTCAGACCTTGAATCGGGCAGCGAGTCGGACCGGCAAAAGGACTTCTCAGCCCTAGATCTGAATCCTGCGGGTTCCTCCTCCGGCCACCGAGACCCCACTGACGTGATGGCCAAGATCTTTCCTCACCATAAGCGGGACGTGCTGGAATCGGTGGTGAAGAACTGCAAGGGCGACATTGTGAAAGCCATCGAGATGATGCTGAACTCCAAAGAGGACAGGTGCAACCCGGAAAGCATCAATATCTCCGCGGGCGATCATGCGACCCTGCAGAAGACTGGGGGCTTTGGACTAACCGGAGGCGCTCTGGCGACGTTTAGTGCCAAATCTGCCTTTTCTCCTTTGCAAACGCCCGCAACTTCTATCGGGAGCGATAGCATTTACGGCTTGAATCCCAGATTCGGTATTAGTCCGTTGAGACTTGCTTATTCTAGCTCAGGTGGGGGTATAACTAGTTTTATGTCGCCCTATTTAACCTCCGGGTTAGTGCCGGCTTTTCCTCTCCGGCCCCCGATGGACTACTCCTTCCCCGGAATGATGCGAGACTTACCTTACCTCCAGAGCAAGGACTTGTGCAATACAAGCATTTATGCGCGCCTAAATCATGACAAATAACACCATGTGTAACCTTAGTGGGAAAAATGAGTAGCTTAAATGCCGTTGGACGCTGTCGGGCAGATATAAACCAGCATCCCTGTATAATTATTATGCGAAAAGTTCTTTGTAAATACCCCCGTCGTGATTCAGATACCACCAGATACTGTGTTCTTGTATTTTTAAGCCTTTTTTATGCCAAGTGTCAATATTTTAGTTATCAATATATTTTTGAATAATGTATATTTTGTAAGTTTCATAATCTGAATAAAAAGCAAAAATGGAAAAATAAAATGTCAATTTTTATGCAGTTGCCAATCAAAATGAAATCATTTCAATTTCGCAGCAGCTTTGTGTTAAATAGACGATTTCATGAGGTAAACATGCGGGTTTTATTCTTGGATGACCTTTAAACAGCAGTATACGGAATGTTTATTAATTAGTTATCTTTATTTTAAGATTAAATCTTAATATTTCGCAAAAAAAGCTTCTATATTCGACTTTTAAAACTCCCACTGCATTTTGTAAGTAATAACATATCTTTGTTTTATTTTGGTGCAGAAACAGTTTTTAAAAGGGAAAGTCACCCCATTATCAAAAACTACAACAGCCTAGTTCATACCTTACGTTAATGCGTTTAGTACTACATAAGTGCGGCTTGTAGGATATTTGGCCTGCATTAGCCTGTTGCATCCTGACATGAAACAGAAAAACTACACAGACATGTATACTAATTCAGCTTTTTCATTCGAAGTTTTTGAAAACTGAAGCAACAAGTCAATAACAAATTCACCATAAAGGTGTCTAAATAATTGCAGAGACAGAACTTACTCCGAAGTTGGCCAAAAAACTTAACATTTAAATTCCGGGTGGGATACCAACCTTAAGCACAGTACTTAATGTGAATGACTTCAGCAAACAGTCACTTATGTAAACAGTGCCCCAGGTAAGCAGGCTGTCTGTAGGGCTGAATAGGTCAATATATACCAAAGCTCAACATTCCGAAAGGCTGTATGCTAGCCTGTAAAACTCAAAGCATTCAGCACCAGTAAGCAAATTAAATATTTCATTGACTGTTGCTATTGGCACGCATGCATTTTGTACAATACAATAACGCACTATTAATGTACAATACAATAACGCACCTTTTTTTTTATTCACAAATAGGCCTACCTAATAAATTGACTGGTATTTGTCAAAGTGACCTCAGGCTGTTGGTGTAAAGTTGAGGAAAATTGTAGACCGCTGATGTAATGGGACTAAAAGCCGAGTCATGGGCTCGCTGTACATATGAAGTGTGTTCGACAAAGCCGTTGAATTAACCTGTGCTGTTTGCACTGGGATGTGTCAAAGCATTTTAAAGGGCAGTGTAACATTTTTTGAGTCGCCGGGTGAACTATGCCGAATACCTGTGTTGTTACATCAGGGCTTTTCTCTCAGGAAAGAAGTAGCAGAATCTGGCTGACAGCCCCCCCCCCCACCTCCGACAATGTGTTTTCCCATTTTGTCAACTTATTTAATAACCTTTAGGCTACAATGTGCTTACCAATTAGCAACAGAAGCTCAAATTAAAGTACAATATTCCTTCTATGATACCCAGTCATTAATGACATGGGACACTGAGTGGCTCGGTGGACTGAGCCTCTGTGCCGCTGCTTGGAAATATTGCAGGTTCTAGCCCTGGCCTCAGCCGAATGGACATACGTCGATAGACCCTTAAGCAGGGCCCTTAGCCCCCAGCTCCCAAGGTGTTGAACACTGGCTGACTGTGAACTGTGACCCCCAGGCTTACACTCATGTTTGTGTGTCTCATGGAGAGCAGGATGGGGTGGGCAAAAAGAAGCATTCCAATGGACTTGTGCAAAATGGCAAATAAAGGGTCATTTCATAACCTGAGGTCTTATTAAAAGTGAAGGAAATGATTTTCAATGAGATGGGTCTATCTAAATTCTGCTCCCCTGTTTCTAGTCTAAAAAAAACCCAAACTTTGATCATTATGTGAATGATGGGGCCCCTCCTACCATGTTAGTGGTCCTGAGATATTTTTGCTGCAGTTGTAGTTTTGATGATTCCACTGAATCTTTAATCTCTCCAATGCAGTGACATTTGCGCTTCACACAACTGCTTCCCCCAATAGCCAAAGGTACCTTTGGATAGTTAACTTTATTGTCCAAGGCCACCATTGATACGATGAGAAATGCACTGCTTAATAACACGTGTTTATTTCTGTATAATTCCACCTTACCTCATTAAAGAATGCATGGCAAGAAAGTAACACTAATAACAGCCATCAAATAAAATTTTAGTCACTTATTTTGGAATAATACATAATTAAATAAGCAATAGAACTCCAGTAAGCAAAAGGTGTTGGAGAAAAGTACACTTTTTCCTGTTTAATAACAATGTTACTTTATTTTAGATTTTTTTTTTTTTCATGTGACTCCTCAGATCATTCTGGTCTGTTTTTTTCCCCATAGCAGCTAGATGAGACCTGCAAGAAAATCCTTGCCTGCTTCAGGTTTGCCTGTCAAATTCCAGAGCTAGACGAAGTGTCCCGGATCAGCACAAACATTGGGGAAATTGATCGGAGTTGAAGCAAATTTGCAATGGTACCATACATTTGATTCATTAATAAACTTGAGGTTTTTGTGTGTTTTCTCTCTCTCTCTCTCTCTCTCTCAAAAAAAAAGTACTAAGAAATGCTACATTTACAATTTAGAGTTTCCATGGCTGTGTCCTCTAAACACAGAGATTAAATTGAAACTATGTTTTAACTAAACCCAAAAGGGTTTACTAAACCCATTTGCGATGTCTTTTTGGAATTTACCTAGACGCCACTAGAGGTCACCTTTTTTGCCGTCTGTTCGAAGCTGCTCTTCATATGGTTTGGATCACGTTTCCTTTTTACACGTATTCATTTAGCAGACCCTTTTACCAAAATCGACGTTCAGCTGAGGAAGTATGGACAGCCGGTCCCCGGAGCAACAGAAGGTTAAGGGTCTTGATTAAGGGCCTAACGGTGAATTTACTTTGACTACAACGGGACTTGCAGAAAGAGACCTTTCGATTACAAGAACAAGGTCCTACTGGACCGATCACCAGCCAAAAATAATCAGCCTCTCCCCGTCGGGGAATCGAACCCCGGTCTCCCGCGTGACAGGCGGGGATACTAACCACTATACTAACGAGGAAGTACTTATTATACATACATTTAAAGCCCACTTACAAAATATCTTTGAAGAAAAAAGTATACGTTTTTTCTGTATACGTATCGTAATACAGAATGAATGCTTATCACTACCTTATAGGATATTTTATAGATAGATGCTGACTGAAGGTGACTATGAAAAAGCGAACCTTCTATTTTGTTTAAAAAATTAAAGCAAATGTTATGTGTGCAGTGTTTACACAATGACATTCTTAGTTCGCGACACTAAGAATATAAAAACAGAAAACAATAGCACAGTAGATATTTAAATATACATATCCACCAATTAATGTAGGAGAACATTTCATAACCGTTTTAGGATGGGTTAATTTGTATTCAATGTAGCACATGCTAATTTAGAGTACTGAAAGTACTGTACAAATTTATAAACAAAAAATAGCCAATGTTCCTCTGTTTGAGGCAGACTTCAGTAACTTGATTGCAAAACGTGTTTAGCTAAACTTCTCCTCTTATTACAGGAACCAGGTTTAACTTAAACCATTTAGCCGAAATCGTTTAAAACCGGGGATAAACCACAGCTAAGCCTAGTTTTTATGTATTTCATACATGTTTACGTTAATGTTTTATATACAGAAAACTGCATGCATATACAGAAATACTGCGTGTAGGAATTGAAGTTGTCGTGACTCGCCTTTTTTTTCCATTAACACTAAAAGACCACGCGCGAGTTTACGCAACCAATCAAAAGCTACATCTCTGTCACATGGTTTTATTTAAGGAAGTGCTCCTGCCGAAATGTAATGAGAGTGGCGGCTCATCGGGTTACTTACCACTTGCGTTGATTATGCAGTATCACATTGTTGTCGCTGTGGCAATTTGTTCTGCAGTATTTGTGGACTCGAGAAAGATAAGAGGAATATCTCTTGCGTGTGAGTGTTCAGTGAAAAGACTCGCACAACCTATTCTATTAGCATTTTGGAAGTTTTCTATTAGCAATCTCGGAAGTTTTTCATCATCGCGTTTGTTTTGTAGTTGTTCAATTCTTAAAGACTCGCGATAGTAAACTTGCTGTTTGAAACCTAAAATCTCTAAACACTTTTATTCATTCACCATACGACTTTCCTAAGTCCCTCCAATCCACCCTTATTTATCATATAAAGGCAAATATTGCATAAATACCAAGTAACTCACGGAGTAGTGTTAGTGCGGTGTTAACATTGCTAAGTTATCAACAATTAGTATATAATTATTAATATCAAGACAATTAAACTTGCAAACTAACCACAGAAATGTAATTTTTAAGAGGTCAAACAGTCTCTTTTCATTCTTTGGTTTTGAAGACTTTCTTCATTCTTTGCATTTGAAATCACATGCAATTACTCAGGTTAAATTGTGTTGCTCTTTCCAAATGATAGATAGGAAATTTTACAAAGAGAAGAAGACCTTCCTTTGCCTGGACGGCTCAAAGATAATCCCATTCGACCAAGTGAATGACGACTATTGTGATTGTCTGGATGGCTCTGATGAACCAGGTAACAATGCTGAGATTTATTTTCTGTTCAATATTTGCTATGCCATAATTTTTTTGTGAACCCTTTTTCTATTTTTTCTTCTCAGCCTTGTGGTTTTTCCTAGTAACATCTGTACTGTGACAGAATACTTATTGCCGGTGTTTTGTTTTGAGAAGCTGACCTTGGGGAAAAATTCTTTGGAGTAGGAGCCTTTATTCGCAAGTTTAAGGACAGTAAGTTGTAAATTGGATGATAATCAAGAAAAACATTGCTGCGGGAGCCTGGTGTTTAGTTACGGCCAGGGTGTCAGGACAACGGGATTAAGATTAGACAACGTGATGCTCCTGTATCGGGGGAGTGGCCCTTCCTAAATGATAGTCACTGATGGCAGAGCTGCCGGGAAGACACAGCATGGATGTATTTGATCCAATTGAGTAGCGATTCTCAACCTATGGGTCGTGACCCAAATTTGGGTCGCAGCAAGTCCTGAAAGGGTCGTGAGTCAGACTTGAAAATGTAAGCATTTTAAAACCATCAAGCTCCTATGCTGATCCACGATCAGATTTCCCAGCCCCAATCGTAGAATTAACCTGTATAAATGAGTCCTGGGTCTGCAACTGCTTAGCGTTCAACTAGTGAACACTCAACCAACCCATGAAGCCAAACCACAGATGCTTAATTTAAAATTCACTGGCACATCCAGTCAGATTTGTGCGATAGGCATTGAGGTAAGGAGCACGCACCCATCACACTACGAACCACCTCAGGGATGAGAACCATTCCTGCCACCAACTCCCAAGTTTTTCCCTGTAAGTTGGAGGACGTCCTTATAATGCTGGATGTACATTAATGTCATACCCAGGACGAAGCAATTGCAGGTTAAGGGTCTTGCTCAAGGGCCCCATAGAGTAGAATCACTCCTGGCATTCATGGGATTCAAACCAGCAACCTTCCGAATGCTGGTACAGATCCCTAGCCTCAGAGCCACCCCTCCGCCCTATGGCCATTGATTGGCGTAAACTGCAGAGTGCACTGTGTGCTTGATCATAGCGTTAATTTAAACCTATATTTGATATAGGGTCACACTTGAGCTGGCATGGTAAAAATTGGGTCATGGGGCAAAAAAGGTTGAGAACCACTGCAGTCGAGAAAGCAGGGTCAGGGACTCCCTGAAGCAATTGAGGCTCAGGAAGGGCTGGCCGATATCATATTGATATTATATCATGCCTCAGATGACAGACGAAGCATTTGGCCGGACGCCAGCTTTTCGGTGCTATACGGACATTTATTTACGCCCATAATTTAAGAAGATTAGTAGTGTGGCTTAAATATTAATGAGATGCATTTTGTGATACCCAAAAGTTAGTAATCTGTATAGACTTTGTTTCTTAAATTCGATTAGTGGAGCACACCACATTAATACTGTTTTGGTATACTACGGTTTGGTAGGGGCGGCATGGTGGTGCAGTGGTTAGCACTGTTGCCTCACACCTCTGGGACCTGGGTTCCCAATGGATGGATGGACAGTTTGGTATACTATGGTTTGTATACCTCAGTGCAATATGCATTGAAGTCCTGGTGAAGATGAGCAGCCACAACATCTTTTAAAAGATGGTAAACAGGGTAAAAAGACATCGGCGGTGGTACTTTTTGCAGTTCAAAGTCTGACACATTTATTAAACATAAAGATATGCCGTATTTATACTAATAATGACTTTTGGGCATCATACAAAGCCTCATTAATATTTTAGCCATACTACTAAACTGCTGGCGTCTGGCCAAATGCTTCGTCTGTCATCTGAAGCCCTGGTGATTATTGCGCATGCGCGATGCATTGCTCAAGAACCCAATGGTGTCACTACTCAGCCAGTCATGGGATTTGATGCACAGATTTGATATGGTATGAATTGTTTGCATGCGCGTGCTCATTTCGCTGGTACTCCTGCAGTTCTCTGCTTTCCGGTGTGTCATCCTTTCCTGATTTGTCCAAAATGTTGCGTACACCTCCTCCTGAGTTCCGTAAATATACACATTCCCCCCCCCCTCAAGTTCTTTTGGGGATTTTGCATTTCAGGCCTCTTTTTGTGCATGTGCACCTTTGATAAATGAGCCTCATGGTATTTATCACTATTTGCTATGGAGTCATTAGCCTTATTTTGCTTTATTTTACCTGCCCCACCCCTCATGAAAGGATTCAGGCTGTGGGCTAATTCTGCCATATTGGGTTATATTGTAAAATTACAGATTACTTTCTGCTTTCTTGTGTCTTTTTACTATTTGGAAAAAGCCAGTATAACTTAATATTTTATTACTCATTTTTTATGAATGGGTTCTAGTTGCAGAGTAACATCGCCGCTCTGGGTCATGTGGTAGACATACAGCTGATGTAATAGTTTATAGAATATTTATTTAAGCTGTTAAAATATTAACTTATTTGTTCTTTACAATTAAAATTGTACGCCCAGTGATTTTACTGCCTTAGACCATATGGCTCTATTGCATGTTTGTTTATAAAGTCAGTGCATTGCTATATGTATATTTGTTAGCTTTGGCCTGGGTGGTTATTTAACAGGGTGCCCCTGTGTGTGACTGTTTTAATACAGGTGACCATGCAGCAGAACCCTCCTGCTCCTCAAGCCTGGGTTTCGTTTGTTCATTTGTTTGTTTGTCTGTCCGTCTGTCCATCTGTCCGTCTGGTATGGCATCTCCTTTAGTGGGGTGTAGTAACACTCCCTGTTCTGGTTCTCACAGGCACGGCAGCGTGTTTGAATGGGAGGTTCTACTGCACCAACCTGGGCTTCCGGCCATGCTACATCCAGTCCTCCCGTGTCAATGACGGGATTTGTGGTAAGGGGCTGGTTTTGGGGAGTATTAAAATATTTGTCAGTTGTATAAGTACAAGTAAAATAAAATACTGACTTGCATACATCCCGTCAGACTTCAACATATAACGATAAATAGCAACAAACAGCAAATAACAAATAATTGAATTGTGAGGAAAAATAGCATGCAGGTGCTCCTTGACTTACAATCATATTACGTTCATATGAACCCATTGTAAGTGGAAAATATCGTCAAATGTCAATGTGATACGATAAATAATTACTGTAACTGAATTCCAGTTATTAAAGTTTGTTTGGTTAAACACAAAAAAATACTGTATGATACACTGCATGAGATGTTTACTCTATCAGTCACTTCAGTGATTGGAAACGTCCATCCCCTGGCATCAGTAGAAAGTATTGTATGGTATATTGCTAGCCTGTGCGGTATATCGCTAGCCTGTGTGGTATATCGCTAGCCTGTGCGGTATATCGCTAGCCTGTGCGGTATATCGCTAGCCTGTGTGGTATATTGCTAGCCTGTGCGGTATATCGCTAGCCTGTGCGGTATATCGCTAGCCTGTGTGGTATATCGCTAGCCTGGCAAAAGATCAAAATTCAAAAGGTGACTACTGAATACTCAATGCTATCACAGCATCGTAAAGTTGAAAAATTGTAAATCGTAAAGCGAGGAGCATCTGTACTTACAGTACAAACAGTATGTAAACAGTTTACATACAATATGCCATAATGTAGGACCACACGGTGCAGAGGTCTTTAAGTAAATGGCAGTGGAGATTTATCAGTGCTTGTTCAGCATTGTCACAGCTCTTGGGAAGAAGTAGTTCTTGAGTCTTGATCCTGATGGACCTATAGTGCCCTCTGGAGGGGAGGAGGGATAAAAGCGGGTGTGCTTAATGGCTGGGATCTATCATTAGAAATCTTGAAGGAACTGAGTGCACCATTGGGATTAACTACCATGCATACTACGTTGTTCTGTGGATGCTCTGCAAAACAGGAAGCAAGAAACGTGCTGAAGGTCACATAGAATCCCTGCATCGCATATTATTAAATGAGAGGAAAGAAATGGCACTCAGGAAAGGTGTCTCTGACTGAGCGCGAGGCTAGCTCTGACCTCGCTCTCAGGTGATTTCTCTCAGTGGACTCGCCTCAACCAAAACCGATCGTTTTCTGAATGAAAACGATCCTAGATGGAAGAGCGGGGAGGCAACACATCTCTGGCAAGAGGTACCTCAAGGGGACCTGAGGGAACGACTCCTCTCTCTCTCTCTCTCTCTCTCTCTCTCT